TGCATGTATCTTTTGGGCTCCCATATCCGAGTACCGCTTGCAGCTGCCTCATAAAACCGTAAATTGAATGCTTGGCTCAAATGGTGCTTGAAATTTATTTAAAATTTATCTCTGCATTTGGTCAGAGTTGCTTTTCTGCTGCTACAGAGTTGTGGCTGAATGTCTGTGGGGTGGAGGGGGGGTGGGGGTAGGTCAAAGGTGGGTCTCGCTCTCCCTCGCTCGCTTCCTGTCTCCCTTTCATTGGACCACTTAACAGGCTTTTTAGCACTTGGCTGCATTTTCATTAAATTGAATTTTCCACCCATCCAGTCGTGGGCAGGGGGGTAGAGTGGTGTCTGGAGTGGAGTTTTGGGGGCCATGCCACTTGAGTGGCACACACACACAGCTCCAGCGGGGAAAAGCGCTTTCCACTGGCAGGAGTGGGTGCCCCCACCCTCCACCCTCCACCCTCCTCCCCCACCTGATGTGATGGTTAACCCAGTTAGCAAACAGCAACACACACTTTTTGTTTGATGTTCCAGTTTATTTTGTCCCTCCTCCACTCCTCTTCGAGTGCCTTCGGGCCGGGCAAATGTATTTTCGGCCAAGCGACAGTCGACCGTCGTCTAGACATCGAAGGAGTGTTGGCCAGCGAATTAATTGGGCTTGAATTTTAACTGAAACTCCAAACTACAGGCACACTTACAGTGGGGCCTGTTCTGCAGCAAACGGATGACGGCTGACGGATGCCCTCCATCCGCCCGTCTTGGCCTGTCCTTCGTTCAGCATTTCACAACTCTCGCACTTGCTTTGCAAGTAGCCCGATGATTCGATTTGTTGGCATGGTTTTATTGGAGCCTGATAGACTGATGAGTAGAGCAAAGTAGAACGGTTGCCGGGCCCAAAGCCCAGTAGCCCCAACAGCCCCAAGGCTTTTACTGTCTCCTGTTCCGGCCTGGCATTCCGTTATGGGTTATGAATCGCCAGATATTTGATTGAATCGATGCATTCCCTTTCGCTCTGGTAACTCCCATCTCGGGATATCTCTGGATATATTCCTTTATGCACATTTTATGGACTCCCGAAAGCCCATTCCCCATTTGAGAGGCGAGATCTGTTATTTTCTGTAGAAACAAGCTATATTGTGGCTTTATCTCTAGTGATTCTTGTTCTTCTTTGCTTTCTTCTAGGTTTTCCATAGATATTCATGGTACTATCCCCTAATCATGCCACTTCCCTCGCCCTCCTCCTCGCTAAAACCTCTTTGCTTTCTCCTTCTTCCCTCTTTCTTCTGTTATTTCCCTCCCTTCACTCACCCTCTCGCTGTCTCTTGGTTGTTTTTAGCGATTAGCGTGTGTCGTGCCCCAAAGTTGGAGCCCAACTTGGAAAACATGTCCAAAAGTTGCTCCTGTTTTTTGTACAATGGGAGAGAGGGGCAGGGCCGCAAAGGGGCAGGCACTTGACAGCATTTTTCTGTACTTCTTATATAATGTGAGATTTGCGTGCCCCTTCCGCCTCCCCCCTCTCTCACACTCCCTCTCGAATGCATTTTCCTCTGGGATTTTCGGGAAAATGTGGAAAATGGCGGCTTGCAGAGGGGTGGGAGGGGCGAGGGTCCGGGGGGCGTCTGGCAATGCGTTTCGGCATCTCAAATACTTTTGAATGAGGGAATATGAATATGAATACGATTATGATTACGATTACGATTATGATTATGTGTGTGATTATGCAGTTCTTTGTTTCTTTCTTTCTGCTATCCATATCGTGGATATCCATATGTATCTCTTGTGTTTGTTGCATTCCGCTGCATATATGATATCATATCATATACAAAGCCTTTGGCACTCGGGGCTGTGTATCTCACAGATACACCGATACACGAGCCACAGCCGAGACTCGAGTGCTGGAAATTGTAAACCATCTCCGCTCGCCCCTCCCCCTGTGCCCCCTCTGCATCATCGCATAGGTAGGCGAATCCCAATCCCAATCGGAGGGACAGCTGCACTCCACAGTCCACACTCCACAGTCCACAGAAGAGAGCAGAGCAGAGCCAAGCCCCAGAGCCCATTCCATTCCATTTCATTCCACTCTCCAGTACGATCCGCCCCGGCTCTCCCCCCCCTCCCCCTCTCCCCATCTCCCTCCCTCCCTTTGTTGACTTTACCTTTGAAAAGATTTTCACAATGATTTCTTTTTATTGTTGATTATTTTTACAAATTCAGCGATTTCTTCGAGGAGCAGCCGTGGAGGAGTCCATTGCTTTTTGCTTTGAAATAAATAAAAGCCATATGCCATATGGCTTTGCCCTGACTTTTGTTTATTTTTTTATCCCCCTCTCCCCCTCGCTCTCCCTCTCTCTTTCTTTTCTGTGTGGAGAGTGGGAGAGTGGGAGAGTGCACTCCTCTCCAAAATGATTCACATCGGACTGGGGAGGGGGGCAGGGGGCCTCGCAGGCGAAATCTAAAATCAAATTGATGACCAACAAACACTTCCTTCCACCGAAACACCTGCAACACACACACACAGCCCCCTCCCCCTGTGCCCCCCTGTGCCTCTGTGCCCCGCCTTTTAATGGCCTGCCTAATCGATTTCTCCTCTCTTTCTGGACAATTTTCTGTGTCGTTTTTCAGGCTCCATTAGTGCATGTCATTAATTTGCATAGAGAATCTGCCGCTGCCGCTGCATGCCACAACAGTTAGAGTCAGCCAAGCAGCGATGCAAGATGCAAGATGCCAAGATGCAACATGCTGCACAGCCATTCCAGCAGAATGCCGCTCGTTTGCCTGAGTTTTTAATAACATTTTGATCGAATCTTCACCTGGCCATGGAGCCATGGAGCCATGGAGCCACGGAGTAACGCCTCGTTTCGGTAATCGATAAAAGCGGCGCATGGAATAGTGGGGGGAAGGGGGGTAGTGCTCCTTTTTGAATTGAGAACGAATGAGACGAATACCCTGCCTTCTCTGGCAGAAGGGGAATTCCATGGATTATAGTGGGTTTAGATTAGATTTAGTTCTTTAGAGAGGGATCGTGCCGACTCCTGGGTGGTGAAATCTACTCTATAGATACTTTACTTAGAGGAGTATTATCCTGTAGAGCTTTCCATGGGGGATACCTAAATATCGTGCCATAATCCTAATTCTGTTCCATTTTTGATGGTAAAATCTGTGTCTGGCTGCCTTTCCCCAAGAAATATAAGCCGTAATCGGCTTTCAATTAATGCAGAATCTGAAACATAAGACTTGTGCCTCTCTCCAGAGTGTACGACGGGGCAAAACATGTCTCAAACTCGTAGATACACGGACACTGACAGATAGATAGATGGATAGATGGATGGCCGCTTCACATCATCAGGCACCATCGGCTTCGGCAGTGCCTATCGCCTATCGTCACTTAAATTGCTATCATCTCTCGTTAAGAATTCTGATTTATGGCTGAGAATGGGTGCCCCATCAGGGGATGGCATGGGATGGGGGAGATGGGGAGATGCTTGCTGCTCAGTCACTCAATTAAAACTGTATTAAATGTAAAATGACTTGAAAAGCGGCTTAAGAGACGACAAGACACGACAACGACAGCCACAGCCACAGCCACAGCCCCCAGAGCCATCCACAAGAGGATGCATCATCTAACCGGAGTGGAGCGGAGTGGAGTGGAGCGTTGAAAACCGGTAACCGGTTGGTCAGGACAACTCAATCTCTCTGGGCTGATAGCCAGGGGCGGGGGCACGGGGCGGCGGAGCATTTTGTGGCATAAAAAACAATTTGCAAGCTTTTGATTAAAGTGGCAACTAATTGAAACTACGGGTACGGGTAATTGTCGGGGGCCGGCTACGTGACTGGAAAATGTTTGAGAATATAGTTTAAACAAGTTAATAAATACTCCTGGGAGTTCCCAGAAGAACAAAAATCACTGTAGTCGCTTGCAAAAATCCAAAGATTGAGTGGGGAATCGTTCTTTCTAGGGGGAAAAGTGTGCAGAAGTGCTATATAGATCGCATCTAAGGAATACCTTTCCCTGAAGAGAGCCTCCATAAGAGTTCCTACAGAGAAGAAAGAGTTGAAATCTTCTCGGAAGAGCCTTAAGGAATCTCCTCTGAATGAGCTCTTCGATTAGTCAGCTTTTACAAGATCTATCTCTGAGATTTCGTTTGGTCTTCCTTCTCCCTCGATTAGTCATCTTAAAGGTCTTCTAAAGGGCAGGGGATCCCTCCTCTAAGGCATCGCCTGTGCAGTTCCCCCTGGAAATGCCTTCTTTGCAGGGCTGCTCCTCTGCTGGTGATTCGCCTCTTAGTCACCTCTCGAAAGGTTCCAAACTGCAAAGAAAACAAGTAAAGAGCTGATCTGTACTCCAAAGAATCCCCCCCCCAACTAGAGAATCCCCCCGCTTCGATTAGTCGTTCGCCATTCGCCATTGCATTGAATGAGAGGGGGGGAGAGGGGTGGGGAGCGGGAGAGAGATAGTCGTACTCGAACTATTTGTGGCATGATGTTTACCTTAAATACTTGACACTCTGATTGAGTAGCAGACACATTACCACACTTGAGGTTGATGCCACCTCCTCGGGGCCACCGCCATCCTCCTTCCTTCCAGCTGCACTCCAGACAGAGTCGTCGTCGTCTCCTACTGCCTCCCCCTCCCCGCCCCCGCCCGTCTTGTGGAGTGCCTTCTCTATTGTTTGATTTCATTGGAAGTCTACTATATATTGTTGTGGCTGTGGCTCTGGCTTTTGTTTAAATAATCGTTTTTCATGCGTCGCAGTTTGTTGACGCCGTGGGGCAGTGGCAGAGACGGAGATGCACTAACCGCCAACGCCTTCATGGCCATCAGTAGCGTCATCGACATCGTCGACAGAAGTGCATTAAACAGCCTTCAATGCCGCAATAATGAAACGTGAATGAAAAACAACAAATAAAAGCCCATGCCATGCCCCACACTTTCGACCTCGATCTTTGACCCCCTCGCCCCCCCCCGAAAGCCGAAAGATTAAACATTTCCCGCATCTGTTTTGCCGCCTGCAGGGCCGTCACACAAAGACTGGACAATTGGCTGCCATAAAGGTGATGGACGTCACCGAGGACGAGGAGGAGGAGATCAAGCTGGAGATCAATGTGTTGAAGAAATACTCAAATCATCGCAACATTGCCACCTACTACGGGGCGTTCATCAAGAAGAGTCCGCCCGGCAAGGACGACCAGCTCTGGCTGGTGATGGAGTACTGCGGCGCCGGCTCCGTGACGGACCTGGTGAAGTCCACCAAGGGCCAGAGCCTCAAGGAGGAGTGGATCGCCTACATCTGCCGCGAGATCCTGCGCGGCCTGAGCTACTTGCACTCGAACAAAGTCATCCATCGGGACATCAAGGGCCAGAATGTCCTGCTCACAGACAATGCGGAGGTGAAGCTGGTCGACTTCGGAGTCTCCGCGCAGCTGGACCGCACGATAGGCAGGAGGAACACGTTCATTGGTGAGTCATCCATGGCGTCTCTCTGGAGATTACCGCCTGCTAAACGCGTCTCTCTCTCTCTGCGCACAGGTACTCCCTACTGGATGGCGCCGGAGGTCATTGCCTGCGACGAGAATCCCGATGCCACATACGACAACCGATCGGACCTGTGGTCGCTCGGGATCACTGCCTTGGAGATGGCTGAGTCACAGCCGCCGCTGTGCGATCTCCATCCGATGCGGGCCCTCTTCTTGATTCCCCGCAACTCGCCGCCGCGCCTCAAATCGAAGAAATGGTCCAAGAAATTCCACGGATTCATTGACACGGTGTTGGGTGAGTCATCGTCCTCCCCCCCGGCTGGAGGACGGGGGACTGGGGACTCTACTAATTCGTTTGCACTTTCAGTCAAGGACTACCATCAGCGGCCTTATACCGAGAATCTGCTGAAGCATGGCTTCATCAAGGACCAGCCCACGGACCGGCAGGTGCGCATCCAGCTGAAGGACCACATCGATCGCTGCAAGAAGCGCAAGCAGGAGAAGGAGCGCGAGGACTACCGCTACTCGGGCAGCGACAACGACGACGATGAGCCGCAGCTGGCGGGCGAGCATAGCTCCATTGTCCAGGCCCCCGGCGGCGACACTTTGCGCCGCAACTTCCAGCAGATCCAGGAGGGTCGTATCGCGGCCGAGCAGCAGCAGCACCACCAGCTGATGGCCCACGCCCACGCCCAGGCAGCGGCCGACCATGCCGCCGCCCAGGCGCAGCTGCACCAGCAACAGCAGCGGCAGGCGGCCGCCGCGGCGGCAGCAGCAGAGGCGCATGCAGCAGCCGCATTTGCAGCGCAACAGGCCCAGGCGCAGGCGGCGGCAGCCGCCCAACAGCAGCAACAACAGCAGGCACAGCAGCAGGCACAGGCGCAGCAGCCGCAGGCGAATCGACAGCAGAAACCGCCATCGGTAGGAGTTGGATCGCTCGCTATCCTTCCAGTAGAATCGCCCTAACCCGTGTGTATGCTCTCTCTTGGTTCTACAGCGCCAGCAGATCGAGGAACCAGGTCCGCCGGCACGCCCACAAATACCACAGCGTCTGATTGTGGTGCCAGATCCACCGCATGCCAATCGGCCATTGCCACCGACCCCGAAGTGCGGCGGCGGAGGAGGAGGAGGCGGCGGCGGCGATCAGCCAGCGGGTCAGACGCCCCAGCAGCAGCAGCGAAACTCGCAGAATAACTTCAAGCCATCGGTGCGTATCGGTAGAAGGAGATTAACGCAGGGAATACTCTGAACGGGAGGCTAGGCTGCTGATAACAAAAGCAGAAGCAGAATCCCCTCTCTGGGAAGGTCTTTGCAGAGCAATGACTTCAGAGCTCTAGAGCTCTTCCTCTCTCGCCTTTTGCGAAAGAGTACAAGTACATATCGTCATATCGTCATATCGGCCCCCCGTCATCGTAATGTTGTTGTGTGTCCCCCCCACACCCCCACCCGCATTCAGAAGTAGTGTCGATTCGCTTTTATGTTACGCTCATAAGTAATCCCCCAATTTCGTATTCTTCTTTTATTTTCATGTATTTTGTGCGCCTACATACAAACAATCTGTATATCCATATATATCTTTATATATATATATCAATGAATATCCATCGATTTATGATTTATGACTCATGCGTAACCCCCGCCCCCCACCACCACCACGTCGTATGATTTTCCTACACGAAACACACACCAAACAACAACAGTTACCACCAAGGAGACCTGAGGTATGTCTGTCCAGCGATTTGCAGTCGAGGAAGGCCATCCACGAGCCGCCGCCTGTTGCATTTGTTCTTCTGTTCTGTTTTTGCTTCTCTTTCCGTTCGCTTGCATTTTCCATTTTCCTATTTATAGTGTACATTTCCATTGCTGTGTGAAGTGCATTGAAGCGATCCTGTGGGGGGATCTACTAAAGATCCCCGCTCTCGAAAGTCGTTCTACAATGCACTTCATATGAATAGTGAATAATGAATAACGATTGTAATCCCAAGCCCCCATTCAGGGGGGTGCCCACCCGCAACTACCCCAAAAACCATCCCAACCCCTACCAAAAAAACACTTTTGCACGTGCCACTAATACCAGTTTTTGAACCGAATCCGAATCCGAATTGGAGCCTTAAAATCTTCAAACTAACTCTTGAAAAGAGCCTCCACTAACTCCTGTGAATCCTGTGCCTGGCACTGACTTTCCTGCATCTAATCGAAGCTCTCTGCTGCTGGGGATGCCCTAAAGCCTTCTCTGTAATGTAATCTCTAACCCACAAACTGTTCTGTTCTGTAATCTGCATCGAATGCTCGTTTCTGCAACGTTTCTGTATCTGTATCTATAAGAAGGAGCTCTATCTTGAAGGAAAACCAATCTAATTCTCAATTATATCTCGTTCCCCCATTCCCCCAAACGAAAAACTGTGGTATTATGTGGAATCTATACACACACCAACACACACACACACACGACACACAACACTACACACACACACACGAAAATCCTCAAAAAAACAAAAAACGGAAAACCGAAAAATGTACTATATAAAAAAAACTGTAGGATCATTTGGATGTGTTAGCAGCACAATTAAATGAATTGGGCGTGGTCTCCTCCCAACAGCCGCAGCCACAGACAGCAGCAGCAGCAGCAGCCGGAGGGGCAGCCGGGGCCGGTGCAGGAGGGGCCCAGCAGCAGGCGGCCCAGCCGGAGGCGCCGCCGCGCAACAATCGGGGCTCCGGGTCCGCCTCGGGGGCATCGAAGCCGGCCGCCGTGCTGCCACAGCAGCAGTCGAACAATCATCTGGGACAGCCCGTGAATCCGCTGGATCCGTTGGACAGCAGCGACTCGGACAGCGAGCCGGATGAGCCGAACGATCGGGCCAGGAACGATGGCACTCTGTTGGCCAGCGATCCGCCCAAGCCGCTGTAAGTACCACCCACACACACCCACACACACCCACACACACACACGCACAAAGAAGGGGGCGTGAAAAAAAAGTAAAAGTAGATCACGCATCAATCATCTCTCTCTCTCTCTGAATACTAACCCAAACTTCACAACATTCTTGTCTCTCACTCGTTTAAACAAATCATTTTACACCCCAAAACACCCACTCCGAACCCCTACAAAATCCCATCTGACAACCCATTGAAATCCTATATAAACTCACACGAAATCCTTCCAAAATCCAACTCCCATTCCCGATTCCCAATCATTTCCATTCATCAACAAAACGATTTGCCGCCCCTTTTTTGTTCTGGTTCTTTTTCGTTTGGTTTTGCGTTTTGTTCAGACCCGAATTTTCATATAGGCCTGGTCTGGGACCCGTCTCCGAGGACGGCAACACGACAACGCCCCTTGGCAGCCACGGCAGCGGAGGGCCGCCCAACCGGCCACTGCCCCCCACGCCCGATGACGACGATCAGGCAGGAGATCGCACGCTGATCATGAAGCGCGTAAGTACTCACAGAAGCATCCAAGTTCAGTCGATTCCGATCTATACTCTATGCTCTTTATTTCGACATATATACGATCGATACGGTCGATACGATCGATACGATCCGTATATATGAGGAGTACGTTTCCTTCGATTTAGTTTAGTTTTTAGTTTTTGTTCGTATTGATTTTAAACGATGATGAAAATGAGATGAAAAAAACAATATCCGGGGGATCAAATGAGTGAAGGATCAGTGATCAGAATGCGTATAGACCAGGCCCCGCCCCGCCCCGCCCACCGATTGTACAAATTGTAAACTATAGCTTTTGTAGGGTTAAAGGAACCAATCAATCAATCAATCTAATCCAATCCAACAAATCAATCAATCAATTAAGCGTAATATAAATCTAAGTTGTTTCTTTTTTTTTCGACTTTTGCGGTTGCGGTTTCTTTCTTTTTAGACGAAAAGAAAACAGTTTTGATTTATTTTTTTCATTCAAGATTTAGCTTAAAATTTATACCTACCATATTTACATATATATATATCCTTTGACCTACTAAATTTTGATCGGAAATAATATATATATTTAATTTTATTATTAATTTTCCATATATTTATTTTGAGTAAAAAAAGAAGAAGAAAAAAAACAGTGTGAAATCTTTTTCGTGAATTATTCTTTTGAAGAAAACCAAAATTTAGTTATTTTCGTGTGTTTTGTACAAAGTATTTCTCTTATGTTTATTCCGTGTTTATTTATCGATTGAGCAAAAGATGTGTGTGCTGTTTGCATCTATGAAATGCACATGTATCTGTATCTATATCTATATATCCATATACATATATACAAATATGCACTGGTGCGTATAGAATGTTCCACACCGATCGAACCCAATCGAATGTTGTATATATATAGAGAGAAAAAAAACCGTATTATTGCACCCCAACGAAGAAAACGAAAAATTCAAAATCTCACACAGATACAACACACTCACACATACACTTGCATAAACATATCTATATATACTGTACGATGCCATATATCTATATACGATCCGATCCGATCCGATCTGTATGGAGCGAAGAAAAAGATGGCTCCATTCGCGAAGGAGAATTCATGAAAAATGTTACATGCTGTTGTGGTGGGGCATAGAATCTCCTCCTACTCCTACCCCTCCCCACTCCCAACCCCACCCCCACCCCCACCCCCACCCTTCGTCCTTTAGAATCGCCTCTAAGTATGCAACAGAGACTGCAAGAACAAAAACAACAACCAAGAAAGTAAAAAAACAAAAACCTAACACAAATTCTTCTCTTGCGCTGCTACTCACAACAACAACAACAACAACCAACAACAACAACAACTACTACTCCTACCCGAAACAACCCCCAATCCCCGATCCACACACACACACACACACACACACACTCAAACACGACACACACAACCACGGAACAGAATATAAACCCCCTGCTAAGGACATCATCCGCTGTCGTCGTGCCACGAAGGGAGGAGGCAAATCTTCTAAGGGACTGGGACTTTGATCGATTCTTTCCGAAGACCGGAGCCAACAGTGGAGCTGGAGCTGGAGCTGGAGCGGGAGCTGCAGCAGGACGTGGCAGTGGCAGAGCCACCGGCGGAAGTGGCAGTGGCAGTGGCAGCGGAAGCGGAAGCAGTGGCAGCCCCACAACGACGGCCAGCCTCAGTCGCAGCTCGCAGCAGAGCACGCTCAAGGTGGAGACGAAGCTGCAGAGGGCCAGTGTGGCGGAGGCCATCACCAGGCCAGTGCCCAGGGGCTATCAGCCGCTAAAGGGCACAGGCGCAGGCGCAGGCGCGGGTGCCACAAGTATTGCCAAAGAAAAGGGAGCTGCCGCTGGAGCCGCAAGCAGCAGCAGCAACACTTCGAAGTCGCAGCACAAGCGAATAGAGTCGAATTTTGTGCGCGGCTTTCGGCGTGAGAACTCGGACTTCTTTCCGCTAAACAAACGCCACTCTGCAGTGCTGAGCGGCACCACCAGCAGCAACCACAGCAACAACAGCAACAGCAGCCACAGCAACAGCAACAGCGGCCGCGCAGCCTCCACAATACAGCTGCAAATTGTCCAAGCTAGCCAGAGAGCCAGTGCCATGTACCAAAGGAACAGCATTTACAACACCAGTAACAGTGCCACAGCCACAGCCACAGCCACAGCCAGTGGCAGCAGCAAGAGCAAGACCACCTCTCCAGCAGCAGCAGGAGCAGGAGCAGGAGCAGTGGCTGCCAAGTCGGGAGCAGGAACTCCTGCCACTAAATCGAGTTGGGCGAATCTTGATTTCTTGCGTCCGCGTCGCGAAAAGACTGAATCCGTCATTGTGTTGCAGAATGCTGCCTCTCGAGCCCACCAGCAACAGCAGCAACAGCAGCAACAGCAGCAGCAGCAGCAGCAGCAGCAACAACAGCAGCAGCAGCAGGCGCAGCAGCAGCAACAGCAGCAGCAGGTAAACGTTCTCAGCTCGCACAAACAAACAAACAAACAACAAACTCCAACAATCAACCTTCAGAAGAGGCAAACAAACATCACAAAAAAAAGAAAAGAAAGAAAAAAAAAAACCAAAAGCATATGTCGTTCTTCCATTCCAATTGTGTTTTGTCTTGGCGCCAGAAATGTAAACGTAAACCAAACCAAAAACCAAAAAAAAAGCAACAAAAATGTTAAAATTTACCATCGCTCGCTTTCTCCCATACTCACCAAACACACCACCCACGACACTCGATCACACCACAACTCACCACACCACACCACCAGGCACATGGCGACTCCGCTGGCATTCGCTCGTATTGTTAATAACATTTGCAGACTAACAGCCTCGCAACTCGTAAATAACACCACCCAAACACCCACACACGCACACAAAAACGCATCTGTTGATAATGAAAACCGATGGAAAATTCTGTGGGAAACCATCGCGAAAGAACCTGGAACAGACTGTACCTGTACCCTTGCAGATTCACATTTTTCATATTTACTGTCGCTTTTTGGGGGTTTTCCTGGAAGTTTTCCCTCATCAAAACAGGATGTTGGACCGATAGTTGCTTCTACCTTGGGAAATTCAATGCCTCGGTAGCCAGCTCCTTAACCTCAAATTAGAGGCACTTTCTGGGACGGGACGGGACGGACGTACATGGCTTGAGCTTACTCGCTCGTATTTCATACTGGAATTTTCCTCCTGGACAGTGACATGCAATGACTGCATCCCTAGACTTCCAGCCAATCAAAGTCCCTTTCCCAAAACCCTCTGCAAGGGGTGTACATAGTTCAAAAGTCGAAAAAATAACTCGTATATTCGTTTGGTGTGCTCACATATTGTTTCATATATACTTGTACTTATCCGTATCTTTTCATTGCCTGAGCATGTTTTGGTTTCTGTTTGATTTACCTTTGGAATTTACATATTTTTTATTGCATTTTTCATTTGTAAGATCTAAGCTACATCCCCCAAGAGCGGAGCCGTAATTAAGTCGCTAATCTCTAATACTAAGCGTTTTTGGGCCGGGCTAATGTGCAACTAACAAACGCAAATCGATTGCTTTCTAACACCAAAAACAAATGTAAATAACTCTAGTCGCAAAAACACACACACACAAGAGGCAAAATTATCGAATGCTAATGAGATGTGATCCATTAAACAGACCCGTACTCGTAGACCCGTAGACCCGTAGACTGGTAGACTCGTAGAGCAGAGGTTGAAGCTTTTTCTATACCTAAATCTACTTCGAATCTTTGATAAAACTATTAAGTAGAACCGGAAGTCCTCAGATTTAGTAAGGGTGGATTAAAAGGCTTAAAAGGGCTTAAGATTCGATTCGATGGGGTTTAGTTAAGCACAGTTATAAATTTAGAGATTTCCTAGAGTGGCCAAGAAAAACACCAGCAGAAACGTAGAGAACCCATCACTAGACTCCTCACCCCTGGCCGCTACTTAAGGGCCACTTCCATGAGTTCTTTAACCCTTGATTATAGCTCGTTTTACAGATAACACGTACACATATCGAGTAGTATCACTGCCCCAGTTCTAACCATGTAATTTATCGTGCTCTGCTGCTGTGCTCTCTGTATCATCATGTTCTACTTTGCCTAATGCTACCCAAAATTGTTTTAAAGCTTTTCTGTGCAAAGACGAAACTAGAATTAAAGAATCAATTGAAGAGTTTGGTTAACGAATGGAGAGCTAATTAAGAAATGTTAAAATGTATAAAGCCCCCAATCCTGGAATTGTTCTTGCAACTTGTTGAGCAACGTTTGCCTGCTGGAGTGCCGCGAGGAATGTGTTGCTGCCTCCACCCCCCCTCTCCACCACCATTTGCGTCCACGTGTGATAGTTTAAGTGCTTTACATGTCTAGCTTTAAAACAATTTTGAAACCATACGAGAGAGTGAGAGAGAGTGAGAGAGAGAGAGATAGATGCCTAGTATATGTTTTTTAGATTGTAAGCTCTTCTATATAGTAAATGGATATTACACGCACACACCCACCCCACCTCCCACACACACACACACACACACACACACTCTCTCTCCGTTCGACTACTATATACATATATCTGTATATCCATTGGGGCTTTCGTAGAAACAGGGGATCGATCCACATATCCATTTAGGCGACTTTCAGTGTCTCTTCTCTCATTGGCATTCATTTATTTTGTTCTGCTACGTTCCACGTTTGTTTTTTTTTTTGTTTTTGATTCATTTGTTGTTTCTTATATCTGTTCGTTCCTCCTCCAACTGTATCTATCTATCTGTTTATCTATCTATCTATCTATCCTCCCACTATCTATTCCCACTACCTGATTTAATTTTCAACTTCTATCCGAACCTCGCCCCAAAGTCCGTTACTCTTGCACTGTACTAAACTGTTTCTTGTTGCATCTTTCTGTCCCATTCAGAATCGCGGAGTTGGCGGAGGAGGAAGCAGCGGCGGCGGCGGCGGCGGCGGCGGTGGAAGCAGCGGAGTGGGTGGAGCCGATGGCAGCGTTTTGGGTACACCCGGAACCCGCACCAGCAGCGTACTGCCCGATCTGCTTAGCCAGGCATCGCCGGCCACACCGCCACGCCATGATAAATCATCCAGTGAGGAGGTGAGTAATGCCAGCCACAGTCACAGCCAGAGTCACAGCCATAACCATAACCATATACTATATACTATATGTATGGGCTATAAACATCATATACTTTTACTTTTGTGTGTTCTACTACCACCTCGTTGTACCTTTTTTTTTGTTTTTTGTGTGTTTTCGTTCGTAACCTTTGAGAGTCCTTGCCTTACTTATTACTTGTCTCAATATCGCTGTCTGTTCCTCGCCAAATCGAGTCATTCGCATTGTGTTTGTCCTCAAAGTCTTCCGATTAGATAAGGAATCATCAGTGTTCCACTATCGAAAATTCCGACTTCCAAAGAAATCACTGAGGGATCTCTGAATCCGTACCGTACAGTGGTGCGATTGCCTACTAACCTGCCGCCACAAAGCGGCGATTTACGAGTATACATATGTATTTTGTTCAGTATTCCCCCTCCCCCTTCCCCAACCATTAATTGTTATCATTTTGTGATCCTAAAACGTAACTCTAACCTCCACCCAGAAAGTACATACGTATGTGACTAATCCCGAACCCAAACCCAAACCCAAACCCAAACCCAAACCAGAAATCAAAGGAAGAGAACATACAATACCATTTATCTGGGATAGTACTATATAAATACGTGGGAGCAAAGTTTCATTACGAAGAGAGTGCAAAACAGTGACAATTGGTCGACAATTTTAGAAAAGTATATATTTGCATGAAGCATGAGTAAAATCAAAATTAAACCCACAAAAAAAAGAATTTCTTTAACACCAAAATTAAAAAAAATAAAGAAAAAAAAAGAAAAAAAAACCACACACACAACGAACGTTTAAACAAATTTCTTCTTCTTAATTGTGCTTTGTCTTTCCGCAACGTTTGAGCTGATGGCCACTACGATATATTCTAACCAATTACAAATCAATTACCAATCAAATACCAAACAAACAAAACATTACAATAGTAAGTATTTATGAATAAAAACAAACCAAAAACCAAAAACCAAAAACCCCCTAAAAAATACCAAATACCAAAAACAAGCTCTCCCACCAACAACAAAAAATACTCTTCTTTTGTATAATTTTACTCTCTTTACTCCCAAACATTTCTTGCTACCAAACAAATCAAGAAACCACCTTTTGTGTTGTATATTTCTCCAACGATTTTCAAACTCATTTTCACACCGTGCCCCCCTCCCGCCGCCGTATGTGTATCTTATAAGTTCTTTCAAATGGCAAAAGGGCAAAAATCCCCAAACACTTGTGTATCTGCACTGCAGGAATGCCTTTCAGTTTCGATTTCACCTCCTGTTGCTCCTCGCTGTCTCTCCCTCTCTCACTCACTCACTCTCTCTGTACATACAATAGACCATTCCATCTCTTTTTGTATATTCCTTTGTGCCAGTCGAGTGCTAACAGATCTCCATACACATATCCCATATTCCATCTTGCCATACACCCACATCTGCAGGCGAAAATGTAACCCAAAAGATTGGAATTTGAATTCGAATACTTATTCACACACACACGCGCACACACACACACACACACACAACATATAAAATATTCGGCCTCTGGGGAAAGACTAAACACATATCAATTTTTACCAATATTATTTAACATTTCCACGTTTCTACAAACTTTTAACAAGAATGAATGAGAGTTCTCTTTTTGGCTATAGTTTCAATTATTCGTTAGTTTAAGCATCCCTAACCCATACGAAACACCCCCACGCCCTTGTAATGCACACTCTACAGACTCTACACACCCCCGACCATCCCCAACCATCCCCTAAAGCATGTTGTAATTTATTTAATAAACTTTATTCCTTTTGTTTTTACATCTCCAGACTAATTGTAATTTTTTCTTTGCACTTTTTCTATTTTTCTTTTTCTCTGTATAATTACCAATAAAAAACAAAAAACAAAAACCAAAAAACAAATCAAAAATCAATCAATATAAACAAATAATCGCTAATCGAATCGAATCGAATCGAATCGAATTGAATCGAAAATCGTTTATCGATATTTCATGCAGTATCAAGCGGCCATCAGTTCATCCGTGCATTCCACGCCATCGAAATCGTTTATCGCTAGCAGCGGCAACGGAGCCGTCGGTGGCCACGGCCTCGTCCCCGGGCTCGTCCCCGGCCTCGGCATCGGCCTTGGGGGTGGTAGCGTCGTCGGTGGCGTGATTATTAGCAACAGCAGCAATAATTCGCCACAGTCGACGATATCGCTCGCCTCGTCCTCGTCGAATTCGCGACAGAACTCGCCAAAGAATTCGATCAGTAAGACGCGTTCCACCAGCAGTATTACTAATTTATTGCACAAATCTGCTTCTTCCTCCTCTGCGAACATCCACCATCCACCACATCCATCGAATGCCCCGTTATCGGCCTCCTCGAACGCCGCCAACTTGCCAACGCACGCGTACGCGCTGCAACAGAAACAACGCAGTTTCCTTACCTTCGGTTTCGGGGCCGGCGGCTCCGGCCCGTCGCGTCGTGAGTCGCACGTGAATGTCAATGTGACGCCCACCTCCCACGAGGCGGCCAACGATACGCCCGAGATCCGTAAGTATAAGAAGCGCTTCAATTCGGAGATACTCTGTGCGGCGCTATGGGGCGTCAATTTGCTGATTGGCACAGAGAATGGCCTGATGCTGCTCGATCGTTCCGGCCAGGGGAAGGTAAGACCATCTGAAAATCCAAATCGAAATCCAAATCGAGATTCGATGATCATTTGGTTTGCTTTTCTGCTTTCAGGTCTATCAACTCATCTCAAGACGCCGCTTCCAGCAAATGGAAGTGCTAGAGGGTCAAAACATATTGGTTACCATATCCGGCAAGAAGAATCGCGTGCGTGTCTACTACTTGTCCTGGCTCAAGTCGAAAATCTTGCGCACCGATGGACTCTCCGATGTGAGCCCAACCGAATATATTTCCACTTGAGTGTGTACTTTAATGCTTGTGTGTGTTCTTTAATCGAATAGCAAGTGGAGCGTCGCAATGGCTGGATTAATGTGGGTGATCTACAAGGTGCTGTACATTTTAAGATTGTCAAATACGAAAGGATTAAGTTCCTAGTGATTGCATTAAAAGACTCTATTGAAATATATGCATGGGCTCCCAAACCATATCACAAATTTATGGCATTTAAGGTAGGTCGTCGCTGCAAAGAGGGATCTTCTTTTCTTTTCTTTAAGTTTTGTTTTGAATAAGTATACAAATTTTGGTTGATTTTTCGTAGAATTTTGGTGAATTGGAACATCGCCCGCTTTTGGTCGATCTCACAATTGAAGATCAGTCGAGACTGAAGGTGATTTATGGCTCGGCCGAGGGTTTCCATGCGGTTGATTTGGACTCAGCTGAAGTATACGACATATATCTTCCCAAACATGTAAGCTCGAACCCCACGTGGGTGGGAGACGACATTACTCACCCGTGAATTAACCAATTACTCTCAGACTCAGGGTGCAATCATTCCGCATTGTATTGTGGCGCTTCCGAACTCCAATGGGATGCAACTGCTGCTGTGCTACGACAATGAAGGTGTCTATGTGAACACTGTGGGTCGTGTTTCCAAGAACATTGTCCTCCAGGCAAGTACCCGCTAAGCGCTGCCCATTGCCCCATCACCCGCTTTGGTTCTAGCCAACATTTAATTTCTCTTTTGTCTACAATTGCAGTGGGGAGAGATGCCCACCTCAGTGGCATACATTGGCACTGGACAAATCATGGGCTGGGGCAACAAAGCAATAGAGGTGAGTGTCCACTTCTGAATGGTTTATAATTGGAAACACTGTTCTTTTGCCTTCAATTGCAATTGCAGATACGTTCCGTTGAGAGCGGCCATTTGGATGGTGTGTTTATGCACAAGAAGGCGCAGCGCTTGAAATTCCTTTGCGAGCGCAACGACAAAGTATTCTTCAGCAGTGCCAAAGGTGCTTCATCGTGTCAAATCTACTTTATGACGCTCAACAAGCCGGGCATGGCCAATTGGTAAAGCGCTCTGCTCTGCTCTGATGATCTTGGCAGCCATCGATCGACCCAACCGCAACCCCAAACGCAACCGCAGACCCAAAAGAAGCGATCGATTTGCTCAACCAGCAATGCATAAAACATTTTCTTCTTATTTTACAACAAAACCAACAAAATATCTAAAGAGAACATACACACCCCAACCCCAACCCACACCCACACACACACATAACGAAGATAATTAGTGCATAAAAGTTAAGTGAAATGAGATGATGATGATGATGATGATAATATCCTATACAGACGAGAGACACAATTCGAAAACCAACATTCACCAAACCACACCACAACACACCACACCACACAAACAATCATGAACTTGTGCTTATGAAAATTCACCACGACAACGTTTCAATTAGTAAATGTGCTAAGAAAACTCGATCCACTCGGACGCGGAGTGCGACGCGAGCCTATATATATATTAAAATAATCTATTTAATATTTAGAAACGAAAATGTCAAGCTCACTCGCAGAGGTTTTTTCGTCAGAACAGAACAGAACGGAACGGAACACAGAAGTCAACGATCTATATCCTTTCGATGATGTATGTATATTGGCGTTACGTAGTTGAACCCTGAACCCCCCACAGATGGTGTGGATAGCAGCATCCACTATCCAGATCCAGATGGATCACCACACACACACAATCACAATCAGCACACACACACACACGATTCAAATCCATTTCAAATGTCGTTTCGCGTATAATTTCGCTTTCAAGTTAAACTTAAGTTGAAAAAAAAACAAAAAAAAACAGGCAACGCATCAACCGAAAATACACATATGTATATCGAATTTTTGCAATGGAAAACCAACGTATATATATATATATATATACATATATATAAATGAATAAATATATGCAATTAGTTTTTGTTCTTGGTATTATCAAATAGAATTTATTTGTGCGTTTCTGATGATGAGATGACGATTACATATGTTAGTGTGGAAAGCAGAGGGAAATTTATACATAAATTGAATTGTCTGTATGCTCATTTTTATGGAGAACAAAAAAAAATAAAACAAAGCAAAGCAAAATAAAACGCCATTGTAAAAACTAAGTGATAAAAACAAAAGTAAAAAAATTAAATAATATTAGAGCGAAAGAGCGAGAGCAGAAGCAGAAGCGAAGCAGAAAGAATGTTTTTAAGCAGAAGCCGGAACAATTATAACTGATTTAATGTAAAATAAAGCCGAAAGCAACACAAACAAAACAATGCTTACAACATTTGATGCATAATTAATGGAAATGGAAATGAAAGAGACGGAAGTACGGATGCACCATGACGTTTATAAGGAAAGCACTAACCTTATAGCAAACGAATTGGAGGGAATTACAAAACGAGAACCTAGTTAAGCTGCATTTTTTTACTGAACTTTTATACAGAGCAATGAAAAAGAGAAAAACAAGAAACAAATTTGAAACGAATCAAATCGTATCGAATCGAATCGAATCGAGTCGAGTAGCAGACGAGAAGCATAAATTAAACCAAAATTCTATAAATCGTAGCATGTTAATAAATGATAAAAAACAAACCCATTAACAAACAATCTCCGCTTGTTGTACTGTGTGTGCATTTCCTTTGTGTTTTTAACAAGCTTCAATATCAAAAGTGGTCACGATGCAATATATCTCTACATACATACATATGCCAAATGTGTATAGAACTCTTCTGAATTTCCCACACAATGAATGGATTACATTCTTTTCAAATATGTCAAATTAGATGGAGTCTAGTTTTTGTGTTGTTTGTTTTTAAATTCTCCCTCCCTCTCTCCCACCCTCGATTCCTCCACCACACAGCAAAGGAATCTGAACGTAGGACAACCCGCGTCTCATTATGAAATATTATATTTAAAATATTTTTTTTTGTTGTATTTGTATTCCCCTATTACCCCGTATTTAATAATGTTCATCAAAACGAAATGGAAAACAATGCTGCACTAAAATGCAAATCTAAAAATCAACAACAGAAAAGCAAATGAAATGAATAAAAGAATTAGTAATAAATGCTTACTTTATTTCTAAAATAAAACAAGTAAAATGATACAGAAATGAATGTAAATCTAATTATTATATATATATAATCTCAAAATTAAAAGGAAAAAAAAACTATATCAAACGTGGTTTTATTTGATTATTTATTTATACAAGAAAATCCAAATTAGTTGGTGTCTTGTCTCGGAGGAACTCTCAATTCAAATAGTGCGCGCTAATCCATCGAACAGTCGCGGACAGTGAAATGTGGCCCACTTTTGGCACTTTCATCCAGAAAATGCGCCAGTGGTCCAAACTCAACGAAACTTGGACTGCGAATGATTGGAGAAACGTAATGTTTTTAGTGAGTTTAAGATATAAATGTTTAGTTGGGAAAGAATGACGAATGATCGCCGGAAAGGCGGGGAACGCTATACAAATGATTGCCTAAAGTGGCAGCAGGATGCTCTGTGGATGTTTTATTGCATTATAGAGTCGGATTACTGAATGAGGAATACCGTCTAATGAGAAACACATTCCGCCCTTATCTTCTAGGACGATTCTGCTTCTTGCCACCGTACAAGATTGGTGAGGAATTTTTTATTCAACTATGTTGTTGTATTGTCCGAAGGGAGCCTGGGCAGTCAGGGCATTGTAGTGCCGGCACGCAGGCCACAGAAAATTTAGTTGGCCTAGTCCAGATTGTCCACACCGTTGGCTGGAAAAAGTGGCCGGGAAGTCCTTCGGGACGGCTACCACCGGCCACCAGCTTGGCCACCTGCTGCTTGCCCTGCTGGATCATTCCAAGGATCTTATGCATCTGCTCCTGGTTGACCTGGGGACCCTGCTCGGTGTTCAGATCGAAGGCAGTGCCCACGGTCCTCTTCTAGGTGCGAGAGCCGGCATAGCAGAACTGGCCCATGTTGAAGCAGAGGCCGAAATGGGCCGCCCAACCCAGGGTCACGCGCTTCAGGCTCCTGTGTCCGGATGCCAGTTGGATGAGCTTTTCTACATCCGTTGATCCGGTGAAGGCTACCTTGTCGACATTTGTGTGATTGGCCAGGGCAGCGCTGGCTCCACGGAAACTAGGCACCACATTGACTGCTCGACTGGCTTTAGGACGATGGTGTTGCCGGTAGCCCAGTTTCAGCGATGGTCTGCTCTGTGGTCGGAAATTCGATGCTTTGAAATTTTTGGCCCGATTCGGTCTTGTGCCACTTACTTGTTGATGAACAGAGCGCCTCCGGGGTGGACTGGGGGCCTAGGCAGGGCGGAGTAGTGGGCCACAGCTGTGGCAAAGGGCGCCGCCGGTCTTCAAAACGGCCTACTTACTTTGTTTTGTCCCGCAATTGAGATGGCAGTGCTTCGATAAGTCGCGACAGCTGATCGCTGGTGGTGGCAGTTCCTCGATAGCACAATCCATATCGATGATGTTATTAACAACACTATGTACTCTTAACAGCACCTCCTGTGCCCTTAACAGCGTGCTGTTAACGCGCGGAAAACTGACGAAGTTGGCTGCGCTAGCTGTCATTTTGACATTTGCGTTTATCTTCCACTCTTTCTTTTCTTTTCTACCCGAGATTCGGTACGTAGCGTACTGTTGAAATGTTAATCGTGCAATTTTTCCCAAATATCGCAACATCCTAACATGATAATAAACAAAAGTGCAACGAAAAGCCTGGCACTGGCCAACGCATACAATATTTAATAGAATGTTGCGATGGGCGAGCTTTAAATTGCGGCGGACATGGCGGCCCAGAGTGTTGTGATGAATGTGTTCATTTTTTTTTTTTTTTGTTTTCGTTTACAGAAATGGGTCGCGTTATTCGTGCACAACGTAAGGGAGCTGGTTCCGTCTTCAAGGCGCACGTCAAGAAGCGCAAGGGAGCCGCCAAACTCAGGTCTCTGGACTTCGCCGAGCGCTCCGGCTACATCCGAGGTGTTGTCAAGGTAAGTTCTTCAGATGTCAGACATTGGCTATATATTAAATATATGTCATTTTGTGGTCTTAGGACATCGTGCACGATCCCGGTCGTGGCGCTCCCTTGGCTGTCGTTCATTTCCGTGACCCCTACCGCTACAAGATCCGCAAGGAGTTGTTCATCGCTCCCGAGGGCATGCACACCGGCCAGTTCGTGTACTGCGGCCGCAAGGCAACCCTGCAGATCGGCAATGTGATGCCCCTGAGTCAGATGCCCGAGGGTACCATCATCTGCAACTTGGAGGAGAAAACTGGTGACCGTGGCCGTCTCGCCCGCACCTCTGGCAACTACGCCACCGTGATTGCCCACAACCCCGACACCAAGAAGACCCGTGTCAAGCTGCCCTCGGGCGCCAAGAAGGTTGTGCCCTCTGCCAACCGCGCCATGGTTGGAATCGTCGCCGGCGGCGGTCGTATCGACAAGCCCATCCTGAAGGCCGGTCGTGCCTACCACAAGTACAAGGTGAAGCGAAACAGCTGGCCTAAGGTGCGTGGTGTTGCCATGAACCCTGTGGAGCATCCCCACGGTGGTGGTAACCATCAGCATATTGGTAAGGCTTCCACTGTCAAGCGAGGCACATCTGCTGGTCGCAAGGTCGGTCTCATTGCTGCCCGTCGTACCGGTAGGATTCGTGGTGGCAAGGGCGACAGCAAGGACAAATAAGCTGTTGACCGACGTGGAGCAGGTTCCGTCTAAGATCGGCGTGGCAGTGTTGTTTTGTGTTGCGCTGTTTGAGATAATGCAATTCTATTTGGAAAATCTGTATGTTGTCAGCATACACTTGACACGACGGAATAAAATCTATTTGTAAAAAAAAAACCATTGGTTTGGTTACATTTATTTGATTTGGAGGATAGAGTTAATTTGTTTTTATATTTTCTGCCACTGCTACCTTAATTTGGGTCTGATTTGGTACAGTAAATCTGGACGTTGACATGCAATGACTGCATCTTTCAAGAGGCGATGCGGTTACTGCACCGTCAAGTGGCCCGTGTGAAACCAGCAGACGGCTGTTACGCGCGGATCCCAGGCAAAACGCAGCCCTCCTCCCGCCCAACCGACCGAGGGGCGCTGCCGCATGACGCGCGGTGCGTAGCCGAACCGAACGCAAACATGCAAGAAAGATAGCTATTAGACTAACATTCGAGGAAAATTAGCACTAAACTTACTAAGAAACTTACTAAGCATGCAATCAAAATACAAATACCACTACAATTACTAATTACTAGAAAGGTGTGTAAGGATTAGTAATTTAATAAGAGGAAGAGAATTAGTGGCGGATATAATATGGTAGAGGGAATTATAATCCGAGCATAAGACCCTAAACGGTTCATGCAAGGAATAATTCGATCTACAAAGTGGAAGGAACAACGGTATAAAATTTCTAGTCAGTCTAATAGGAATCGTGAAGTTTATGCGGCTCAACTGATCAGGACTGTCTATGTCACCCCTGATCAAGTTGTGCATAAATATCACACCAAGCATTTTTCTACGGTTAACTAAGGATGGGAGGTTTACTAATAGTAGTCTACTAGAGTAAGATGGGAGTCTTACACCCGCATCCCAGTTAAGGCCCCGCAGAGCAAAGAGTAAAAAGTTTTTCTGTACTGATTCTATACGGTCCTGGTGAACTTTGTACTACCATACACAGGAGCCGTATTCTAAGATCGGATGAGGTATAGAGAGTCTTTGTTATATAGGGGTCGTCAAATTCCTTTGACCACCTCTTTATAAACCCAAGCAAGCCCATGGCCTTATTTACCATGGTAGAAATGAGTTCGGAAAACTTTAACTTGGGGTCTAACATAACATAAGGGCAGCCATCTAGCCCTGTGGTACTCCCGAAGAAACGTTTACTGGTAAAGAGAGGGACTTTTTGAAGACGACTCTCTGAGACCTAGAACAAAGATAGCTAGAAATCCATCTCAGGAGGTTGGGCGGAAACCCTAAAAGGTCAAGTTTATGTGATAAAAGGGAATGGTTTACAGATTCGAATGCTTTACTAAAGTCGGTGTAAATAACATCCGTCTGTAAGTTACCTTGACAGCCTTTCATAATGAAAGAGGTAAACTCTAACAAGTTCGTGGTGGTTGATCGCCGCCTTATAAATCCATGCTGAGTTGGAGATATAAGTGACTTGCAGAGATGTTGCAAGTGCGGAGTTAAAACCTTCTCAAACATTTTGGGAATAGCGGATAACTTTGCTATACCTCTATAATTTTTTGCATCAGACTTGCTACCTTTTTTATGGAGAGGAATTATAAACGATTCCTTCCAGATTGGGGGGGTAGCAAGAGGAATCAATGGATAGGGTGAATAGTTTAAGCAAAGGTCCACACAGGGCCTCGGCGCAGTACCTGAGTACACAACCTGGAACCCCGTCTGGACCCGGTGAAAACACCGGCTTAACTAGTCGAAGATCATGAAGTAGGGAACATTCATTTAACAAGGGACTGAAAATGCCGTTCGACCTCGGTAAACCGTATGGGTACGGTTGACCAGAGTAGCTTTCCTCAGAATAGGTGGTTTGGAAAAACTGGGCAAAAAGATCGGCAATTGCCTGATCATTATTTGCCGACGTATTACAAAATGATAGCGAGGATGGGTGTGCGGACGTTCTACGCTTACTGTTTACGATGCAGTAAAACTGTTTAGGGTCCTGAGAAAAACGTATCCTGCAACGAGATAGGTAGTTCTTATAGCATTTAGCATTAAGAACTGAAAAGTTTGACCGAGCTATTACATAACGAGAGTGAGAAGTAGGGGAGCCCACTTCTTGAAATTTTTTTGAGTTTTGATTTTAAGTTTTTTAGACTGGATAACTCTTTGGTAAACCAAGGGGGTTTTCCAGATCTAATCGGACAAGAAAGCGGGACCCAAGAATCAAAAAATGTGCCAAGAGCATTGTAAAAAATGTTTGTGCCTTTTGTGACATCAGTGCACAAGTACAAAGCGGACCAATCAAAATCCCTAATGAGGTTATGAAGCTTCGCAAACTCGGCTTTACGAAAGCAGCGGACACGTTCAGGTAGTCTACTCGACCGATCCAATACAGTTGGTCCTATATCTAGCGACACCTCGAAAGTAGGGTGGTAGGCGTCTTTAGGTATAGTGAGCGGAAGGGCTCGGGTTAACAAAACTATGGTCGGATCCGAAACAAAGCATAGATTAAGCAATCGACCCAAGGAATTTATCACATGATTGACTTGAGACAGGGACAGGTCAAGCAAGCCGTCAACAAAGTCATGTCGTGACATGGGCACTAGGATACTAGACTCGTTTGCCGAAGACCAAACAGTTCCTGGCAAGTTGAAGTCACCAAGAACTATCATACGATCTTTATCAGATAGCGAGGAAGAAACAGCGGTTAAAGCGGACAAGTGCTGCTCATAATTTGAGACATCCGAAGAAGGTGGGATATACGAGCAAGTAATGAATATAGTGAAAGCGGGAAGAATCAGTTTTACACACAGGAATTCCAGTTCCTGTTGAACTTAGACTGTGAAGTGTTCTGACGTGAAGTAAGAGTCCACTGCAATTAGAACCCCCCCTGCACGTCGAGACGAACGGTCCTTTCTAAAAGTTGTGTACCGACCTGCCAAAACCTCGGAACTTAGAATGTCCGGCTTTAACCAGGTTTCAGTAAACACAATAACGTGGGAAGCAAATGCAACACTATCCCGGAAAAGAATGCTGAGCTTACTACGCAAGCCTCTTACATACTGATAGGTTACTAAAAGAGAAGTTAATTTTTTAGAAAGGTGGAAGCAAGACGGGATGTTGAGGAAGAGGCAGTTGAGGTTGAGGGTATCACACTGGAACGATTTGGAAGGGATATGGGGGCCTATTCTTCTTCTTAGCCTTAAACTCCTTTACTACCAAATGCTCCGGCCAAAATTTGGCGGAGCAAATGGTGTCAAATTGAGTTGGGGAGATACTCATCTTAAACGAGGCTATCTCCCTGGCATAAGAGAAGTTAAATTTCTCCACCTTTAAACCCACGGCTTTTATTTTGCTTTGAATAAAAGCAATTACATCATTAAATGTGAGGTCAGGGGCCTGCCGTGAAACAAAAACTTGTCGTTTTGGTGGGACTCCCACCAGTGGTTTAGTCACCACAAGCCTAGTACCTGTGGTGGCAATATCCGGAGGCCGGAACGTCTATTTACTGGTGGGATCGGGATAGACGGGACAACTAGCGAACTTGCGGACACCACGGACACGGACGCTGCAGACGTACTTGGCTGCACATTCTCCGAGGCGATGAATTCGGCTACCGAATCTGCATCGCCAGCAGCTGTCGTTGCCCTTGGAGTGGATGGGACACAATGGTTTATGTCCTCTATATGATCGGAGGGGAAAACCTGTTTTCATATGCAAATATTGGTTGAATTACATATATTGGTTTGAATTAAGAAATTCTCTGCTTAAGACATCTAAATTGAATCATCAGTTTCAGCAATCCCCATATGATGTATGCAATTTGAAATCTCTACGATCAATCACAAAATTTGATGAATTTTTAAAATAATCGCCGATAAGTTCGAAATTGAATTAAATTTGTATTTACGGTATATAATGGTATGTTTAATTGTATCAATCTATTTAATTTTATTTTTAAATGTTAAACATAGAGTATAAACACTTCCATACGGAGGTTTTTTTAATTTTCGCTCTCTCAAATCGTGCTTCCCTGAATTATTTATTCCACATAAGTAGTTACCATGTATAAAAATGGTTGATCTTCTTGTTTTAACATTATTTAAGACAAAATCCAATGAAACTAGTTCCTTAAAACTAGCCTAAAACGACGGAATATCAAAATATCAAAAACCGGTTGACAACAATGATTCCCGGCAACACTAATTTTCATACCTTAGGGAAAAGGATATTATAGAATTGAGAAAATGTTTGTCATCCCAGGCTCCGTAGGTATCAGGATCGATATATATATATACAATATAATAATCATATGCAGGAATATGTCGAAAACATATTGAGAAAATTTCTTTACTAATTACGTTTTGAAACAAGTTCGGAAAACAGTACCTTCATATAAAATTAACGAAATATGGTATACAAACTCCTATACACGCATCCTTTCTTTAAATACAAGCAACATTGAGACTGTTTTTTGGTGAACTATTTTGTTTAAGCCTTGTTTTAGTCAAAACACACTAAAAACAAGGTCTAAAAACTAATCAATTTTGTAGAAAATTTATTCATCAATGGCCTAAAATTACGTGGGCAAAACTTAAGGTTTTAGTTAGGCAGCATTATTGAACGGAATAAAGAAATTGAACAACTGGAACCATTTTTATTTTACGTTTTATTACGTTTCATTTGTTTAACCTTTTTCGCTAAAAATTTTTTTACGCAAAATCCAATAAAAGCAAGTGGTTAAAATAAGCCAGTTAAGTAGAAAATTTATTCATTAATCGGATAAAATGATGTGGGCATGGCTAAATGTGCTATATAGCTAATAATATTCGACGGAATATCAAAAACGAGGAATATGTATAATATAACTTGAGCTCGTCAGTATATTTACGGTATATTTTTAAAGTAAGACGGTATGTTACGGTATATTTGCGAGGGTCGGACGGTATATTTTATCGATAAGTCCACAGTGCAATACAAAAGCAAAAAAAGAACAACCAAAAAAAAAGTTTGGGTGCCCAGGGCAATATTATTTCCATTATTTTTCCACTGCTGCACTGCTGAAAAATGGATCGCACTTTCTACGAAGGGTGGCTAATTAAGTCGCCACCAACAAAACGAATTTGGCGTGCAGTAAGTTTCCCTTTGGAATCGTCTTGTACCAACTCCGTTCGGTTCGGATATTATTAAGCAGTTTCCCCAACTCCCTGAATACAAGTGAAGTGAAATGTGCATCAAAGTGCAAACCGCAAAGCTTACGGTAAACATCAGAAAAGAAGAGATATATTCTTACAATCTCCAACTGGAGGAAATTGTTTTTGCCAACTCTCCTACTATACTGAGTCACAAAAGGAAACGCACCAAACGAATCGCAGTGGCATTTTTGTACAATTACTCTGTGCCTCTATCTGTGGCTGTGTGTGTGTGTTCGTATATGCCTGTTTGTGGCTGAATTTGTTTGTCATAATATAATTCATTAATAAGCGTCAGGCAGGCTGATGTGATGCCGCTGCCGCCTCGGTCAGGGTAAGCGGAAATTGATTGAAATGCAAACAAGCTAAAACCGCAGAGAGAGCAAGTTTCCAGTTTATATTGTAACTGCAAAATGTGAATGAAATTTACGATAGCCTCCGTCTTCCGATGCGCTTGTACATACATATGTACATATGTATGAGTGTGTGTGTGTGTTTTGTTTGTTTGTTTGCTTACGGCGTGGGAACATGTTTTGGCGCTGGTCTAAATTTACGCTTAATTAATTCTTTCGTTTAATGTTTACTTTGCTTGGGCCCCGATGTGCGCCGCAGAGGCAAAGGCAGAGCCAGAGGCAGAGGCGTTTGCTTGCTCGTGTATTAAATTACCAGCAACTGTTGCGTTTAATCAAATTATATTCTGTTGAATTTATTCAAGTAGAAAGTATGCACGAGGGCTACGTAAATAAGTATGCATGTATGTATCTATGGAGTATGTATGTTTTATATGGATGTACTGACGATAAGCCACATCACATCACGCACCAAACAAAACCAAACCAAAGCGACGGGAGGGAGACGAACCACAAAAAACAATGACGCACTTGTCTTTCCAGCTTGTTATTGTTGTTTCTGTTTGCTGGCATTTCTAGGGGGCTGCCGCTGCCCGTTATGTATCGTATATGTGCATGCATGTGTGCGTGTTGGTACATTTGAAACCACTTATAACGGAACCAAGAGTTCCAGGAACACACTGGCGTCCCACTACAGCAGGGGTACGGCAGTGCGGGAGAGCGAGAGCCAAGTCTACTCGTAGAACGCAACCGTCTGACCTTCTGCTTAATAGTCTTGTCCATTTGGCAAACACAATACAGATGGTTCCACTGTACCTATAAGAAAATATTAATGCCTTTCGTATGTCTCAAGGAAATTAGCTCGCGTATTGCCATCTCTCTGGGGTGCCAATTTCTGGCACAGCCTGCTTGTGTGTGGCATTATGTTTATTGTTTATAATTCAATTAAGCGTGAAATTCGGAAATTGAACAGACTACAGAATAAAAACAAATACACAAATATTAAACAACACACACCCCCCCACACCCACACCCACACCTACAAAACTGAAGCCCGAGCTGGAGTTTAGCGATGACACAAACCCAACAGCCAACCCCACCACCCCACTTTACCATACAGCTGTTTAGCAATCATTTTAACGGCACTCTGTGGGCGTGTGTGCATCTGAGGGTATCTGTGTGTATGTGTTCGCTGATTACCCAAGAAAATGTCAATGCAAATATGATTCGCGGAAAAGCAGCAGCGACGTTGCTTACTCACCCTTGATACGAGCAGTGGTCGCTCCTCTGGACAGTCGGCGCCAGAAAAGGCTGCACCCCTGATAGCTGAAGCCGTAGCCGTCCGTCCATCTCAATCATCATTTGTTTACTAACTTTAACGTTTTGTTTTATTCTCCTATTTCTTATGATTTTTTTTGTAGCGCTGGCGGCGACGCTGGTTCACGCTGAAGCAGGGCGAGATACCCGAACAGTTCTGCCTTGAATACTACACCGATCACAATTGCCGCAAGCTGAAGGGCGTCATCGATTTGGATCAATGCGAGCAAGTGGACTGCGGCCTGCGGCTGGAGAATCGCAAGCAGAAGTTTCAGTACATGTTCGACATCAAGACGCCGAAGCGCACGTACTACCTGGCTGCGGAGACAGAATCGGACATGCGGGATTGGGTTAACTGCATCTGCCAGGTGTGTCACCTGCATGACACCAAGCAGTCGAATGAGCTGCCACTGGGCTCTTTGGGGGCAGGTGAGAGAACAACACATAAATAAAAGAATTCGTACCTAATTTGTGTCCCATTTGTTCCCGCAACAGACGAGAATCGCACGCAGAACACGAGCTCCAGCGGTGGCCTGAGCAACTCCACACAAAATACAACCACCACTTCGTTGCACTCTTCGGCGGGAACTATCGCCGCTCAGGCTACGGCAACGGGGGGAGCTGCCCAAATGCGTCGTCCGGTGGTCATTGATCAGCAGCCACTGCCGCAGAATCCCGGCAACAACAACTCGGACTCGGTCTACGTCAACACGGAGTACAGCAATCGCGAGACAATGCTGTGTGATGGAAACTTCGATCAGCAAGACTTACTCTCGGCAGCACAACAGCAGCCACCCCCCTCGCCGGCCACAGCCCTCTACTTGAACCATAGTGCGCTGATCCAGGCTCAGGCAGCGGCTGCAGCCGCCGAGCAGCAGCAGCAGCAACAACAGCAACAGCAGGCTGCCCGTCTTGCGGTCAATGCGAACGGAGTGGTGCGGAAGCTGCCAGAGCATCTGGTGCTCACCCAACAAACCCTGGCCGAGGCAGCAGCCGAGCAGCAGCATAGCAGCGTGCAGGCATCGCCAGCCCTGAGCACCGCCTCTGGACCGTATATACCCATTAGCGAGTGCTTCTCGGGCAGCCCCAAGTTCCTGCTGGACAACCACCAGTCCGGTACAGGCGGTCCCGGCCCAGATGGGGCCATACCAAACAATCCCACAACGCCGTTGAACAATTTGGATCCGAAGTTCTACGATACACCGCGTAGTCATAACAATATTGGCCTAAATCTGACCAATGACCAGTCCTACTCCCCCAAAATTACCAACTTGAGTCTGGTAATTGAATATGAATATAGATCTAATCCGATCCATGAGTAATCGTCATTGTATATTCCTCTTTATAGCAACAGCTGGCGGCTAACTCTGCTAGCAAGCAGCGTTCCGACTCGGACTCGGAGAGCGTCTTCACCGATGACGATGAGTGGGCGCATCCCCTGCCACTCCGCGAGAATGTGGGTAAGTAGTCACCGCATCTCCACTCCACTCCGAATTGGTGAATATCTAAGATTATTCATAGATCGCAGCACCAGACCCTCGGATAGTTCCATTGAGAACGAATCATTCGTGCTGACTTACTCGCAGCGCTTCTCCAAAATGCCCGAAGATGGTGCAGCCGTAGCTCCGCCACCCGACAAGCAGTCAAAACTGACGGCCGCATCATCTCTGGCAGATGCAGGCGACCATCGCACATTGGAGAAGCTGGCCAAGGTGTTGAAGAACAAGAATAATCTCATACTAGACTTTAAGGAGAATGAAAAGTGAGTAGCACGAGACCACCCCGACCAGCAACAGCCAATCAAGATAAATCCCAATAATTTTCCCTCAATTCCAGAATCACTCGGGATCTGCCGCAGCTTTCGGACACGGAAAACACATCGCCAGCTATTGTGGCCCGTCGGAATGCAAGCTCCGGGTTTATTGAGGAGAGCTACGACATTCCACGCTCCCATCAGCTGCCCTACTACAATGTCAGCCAGCTGCTGGGCGAGCGACCGGTTACCAGTCCGCACAACAGCAACCCCATTGCTGCTTCCACGCCCAATTTGATGGCAGCAGCCGATCTGGCTGCCGGTGCGGTGCCAGTGGCAGTGGCAGCCAATCCCTGCCAGACTCCGGCTACCATAGCAGCCACCTCACCCACAAGTGCGCGTACGCTGCCCCGCCCGCACTGCTACACCAATGCAGCCCCCACCAAAATGGAGGGAAATGTGTTTCGATACGATTTCATCGAGCAAATGGATTGTCCGCCAGTGAACCGCAAACTGAAACCAAAGGCGGCCGGCACTCCAGCCGTGGAGGATAAGCCCCCGGAGGAGTTCCCAGCCAAGCCGCCGGTGGGCGTCGAGCATTTGACCAGCAAATTGGGCGCGGCCCAGCTGCAGCCGATTGGGCCGCCCAGCGTGGATCGCAAGTGTAAACCAAATGCGTACAAGGTAAGGCTGGAAGGATCTCTCCCTAAATGTACGCTGTAAGATTCCTTTGCTCTATTTTCAGCTTGGCACTTCGGCCACCATGTCGCCGTCGTCGCGTCGCTCTTCCGGAGCACCACTCTCCATGGTGCTACCCCACGAGACCGATGTTCACTCGTCGGCGTTGGTTGCCTACTTCCATGAGACGCGCACTCTGCCACGCCAGCAACATCGCCCGCATCCCAACAGTCCTGGCAGCCTCTCAGTGCAGCATCAGCGCACATCGTCGGCAGCAGCTGCCATGATGACCTCCTCAGGCGCAGCGCCGAAACAACAGCCGCCAGCGCAGGCAAAGCACAAGCTGCAGTACTTTGATCTGGATGTAACCAACAAGCCGCCCCTGCTCAATCGATCGAGCATGAGTGTGGGAAATCTCTATACCCAGGGCGGGAACGCAGGCGGTGGCATACGTCTAGCAGCGGTAGATGCGGCCTCCGCCCGGGCTCCTGTGCCCAGCAGCGTGGTCTACAAATCCGTGGACTTTGTCAAGACGGATGCATTTAAGCGGATACGCGAGGAGCGCAACAAGGACAGCAACGAGGGCAAATGATTGAGCTTGGTCTCCGTCTACGTCTACCCACATGACAGCGTGCAATATCTAAGGACCATGTTGCGGATCCGAACTCCTGTAGTGCCTACACCAGCGGCCAGCCCCCATTCAAAATGCTGGCCCACAACAGTGCAAATTCAATGTGGCTTTTACATTTGTTATCATTATCATCCATCATTATCATCTCGAAATGTACACCCCACCCCCTTAAAAACTTGCGAAACGATCATGAGTATCTCTTCTATCTAGTGATAAGCTGGCACATTGTGCGTTTTATCTCTTTTAGTGTGCTTCCTTGAATCTGCAATCCTTGTAATCTGCTGTTCGTTTCGCAATTCAATCGTGCTTCCAACACTTCCACAATATAGATACGATATATATAGTCGATAAGCGTCTGAATCAAAATGCAAACATGACAAGCGATTTTAGTGCTAATTTTACAATGCAAACCTTTTATATACACCAGCAACATATTTATAAATACACGATGCTATAGCAACGCAGCAGAAATTGTGTTTCGTTCAAAAACAAAGTTTACCTAGAAATATTACTTGGCAACAGGCAGGCAATCGAAAAACAATCAAATACAAAAAGTCCCCGTCAGTCGCAGTATATTTTCAAGTCTCGATTTTAGAGTTTCACTATTATAGCCATATATTTCGTTAGCCATGTCGCTGGTCTATATCACTCACCACGATGAGAACATCTTCGATTGTGAGCAAGAGTTTCTTAACCAAGCCATCAGCAAGCCTTCCAGAATCTACAATACCAGTAAGAGATATGATAGAGAGAGACGGCCTTTAACGTTTGAGGCCTTACAATATACAATACATCTTTCAGAGACTGCAATCAAGGGAGCACGGTTCGCCAAGTCTTTGCGCGACCGCTTGCAGGTGGAGGATAAGAAGCATTCGATCATGTTGCAGAACGATGGCATGCTAATTCTCACGGATGCCAAAAAGGCCCACCATCGCACCATGGGCTGTGCCCACACACCCGTTGATCCGCCGTGCGCTTATCTTCGCAAGAACCAGGGCATCAAGTGGCGGCGTGAGAACAACCATGTCTGTCCCAAGGGAGAGAAGATGCCGCCGTTGCCAGGCCTTGGAACCAAGCGCACGGAACCGATAATGGCCCCGAATTTCATACGGCGGAATATCCAATGCGCCAAACGTACAGTGCCCTGTCCACCGCCGCCGCGGTACATTGACACTCCGGTGGGCACACGACACAATCTGCTGAACTCTGGCCTGCTGCCACAATTCATCTGCCGCAAGGACTTTGGCAAAGTGCCCATTTACCTGAAGAAGACTAAGAAAATGCTGGCCGAGATGAACGCAATCTGTGCCAAGGAGCAGGCACGCCTGATGGAGCTCTGTCGCGGCGTCAAGGGATTCACGAAAACCCCCACAGCCGCTGCTATCAGCGCTGCGCGGGCCCCGCCGGAGGTGCCTGGCATGCGGGTTATGGACCAAAAAGAGCGCAATGAAATTCTCGAGGGTCTGCGTCATAGTCTGACCGAGATGACCAAGCAGTATCAGTCCATGTCGCTGCTCATCGACAGCGTGGCCAAGGTTCAGCGCAAGGGCAAACTGGAGTCCGATTTACGGCAGGTGGAGCAAGACATTCTGTTGCTCGAAACCAGTCCAATTATTTATGTTTCACTGTATTAACCATAGTTTATAAAAAAACGACATTTTGCCAGCCGTGTGTGTGTGTCGGCATCTGGCAGTGGAGCAGAGCCGCATCTGCTGCCAGAGGCGGACACACACACGCGCGCCGCAGTCACTTAATGGAATTACTTAATAAATTTAATGTTCACGCAGTTGCGAGATCCAATGCATAGCTTCCATGACAGCAAGGACACAGCAGAGTGGAGCCTGGCTTATACAGCTGCAGCAGCTTCTCCTGATCCACCAAAACAGGACGACTGCACTGGCTGCAGTAGCGTCGATCCAGGCTGAAAGGAAGCTAAAGAACAGATTTCAATTAATAAGGTACTTCCAATGACCCGTTTGGAGGTACAAAACCCACCTGCAGATAAGACACACAGCACCGTCGCTTTGGTTGTTCTTCCTCGGGGATTTCTATCACATCTTTTCCCAGCTGGGCATGCAAATCATCAAAGTTTATTTTCATTTGTTGAACAAACGCCTCTTGAAAGCAATGCCTGTCGTGCGTGCCCTTCGAATTTGGCAAGTTTTCCGTCTCGGGGGAGTCTAGCCCCTTGCGCGAGTCTTCCAACAGCAGTTTTTTCAAGCGTTGCGCCTCTGCAAACATACACTGCGCAGCCTCCTTCTGGAACGGACTTAGTTCCTTCAGAGAGCACAGGTACTTCAGTCTCAGTCTCATGTGTGTCATGGCCAGCATTGCCAGCAGCAGCTGCATTTCCTTGTGCGATTCCTCCGTCTGCAGTGTCAGCCAGAGAAGATTCGCTCGCAGGTGAAAAATAGTTGCCATGATATGGTACTTCAGTTGCAGCTGATGCTGTTGCGATTCCGTGGCCTCCTTGTCAAACTGGAACGCCGTCAACCGATGGAAATTGATGTATTTCTGCAAGTTTTTACTGGTGGCAAAGAGCTCCAGGCGCAACTCGGCCAGCAGATCCGTACTTTGATTGATGGGCGTGTTAGGTTGAAAGGTGTCTGCTAGCTTGGTCAGTATATTCCCGTTGTGGATCTTGCCTACGCGTAATTTAAGCTGATTCCGTAGAGAGGTTGCGTATATGTTACCCGCGTATTCCTTGTTGGGGTGGAAGAGCACTGTCAGGAGGTTCCTCTGTCTGCTGCTGAACAGCCCAATAATCTGGTAGTCCTCACAGTCATCTATAGCTACCGGCTGCATGGATGCAGTGAGCTTCTTGTCCTCTTGGGAAAGGTTTATACGGTATAGCTTACTCGTTGACGTGGCTACAGCGAAGCTGGTACTGTCCAACGTACAGAGACCGGTTATCTTCATGCCTCCTACGTAGATGCGCGTGTGCAGCCACTCATTACCTTCTTGCCATGGTATGCACCAAATTAGCAGATTTGCCGCCTTGCAGAGGGATATATAGTAGCACTCTCGCTCCGTGAATCGCGAGATTATCGCCTTCTGAAGTCCCATGCGATCTGCCTTCTCCCACACAGGCCGTATCAAAGACAGTCCGGATTCTTCATCGTTGTTAAATCTGTAGAGATGAACAACTCCAGATACGTCGCCCACCAGCAGCAGATCTTCGAAAGCAAGCATATAGCAGATGCGGTTCAAAGAGGTGTTCAGTACGCGATGTTGCAGCAACGTTCGGGCATCAGAACTCAAAGTAAGACTCCATAAGGAGCCGTTGGCTGTGCCTAAGACTAGGACATGTCCGGCATTGGGCTCATTCGCAGGACGCCAAGTGAACATCGTGATCCAGGCGCGATCTATGAAAGCCTTAAACTGCTTGAAGTTCTGTATTTTTGAAACATTCCTTACAGGCAGCAGAGTATCCCGCAATGTTGTGGACACATTCAGGCCGTCCAGTCGACTCCAGTGAGTGTGTTCCGCGGGCTTGCACAGGAGTGTTATGGCTCCATAGGTGTTCAAGGCGGCCAATAGCATTTGTCCATTGGACAGGATCTGTGGCGACCATTGGGAGGCCACGAGTCTGGACTCTGGCACTTCTGTCGAACAAATGGTCATATAAACTGGCTCTAGAGAGAGCTGCTGGGCCTCCAGCACATGACAGTTTTCATAGATGTCCACAAGATTGACCCCTACGTGCAATACATCCAGAGGGCGCTCATTTACGGGCGAGTCCAGGCAGGCGACGATAAAGGGAAAAGGCACATGGCAACTGGCCTTGCTGGTCATCTCCAGGGTGATTACATCCGACTTGGCGCCCACCAGGGTGATGCGATCCCCATCAGCTGTGTAGGATACGAACTCCCGCAGAGAGTCTTGCTTGATGTCTCCTTTGATTAGTTGACGGAATCGCAGGGTATCCGACGTATCTGTAAAATTTCTTAGGCGTACAGGGCGAGCAAAACAAATGCCAATAAAACGCCGAATCACATCACACCATCGTAAAATGTCATGTGTATCACTACGGCGGCACCCATACACTCACCATTTTGGCTGCCGTCTGTGACGCTCGATTCAGTATCTTTCGTCATTTCGGCTCAGGTTTACGGTGCGCAAGGAATAGGTACAATGTCGGGCAAACGTGGAGTGGATTTCGTCAAGCATGTGGCCGAGTACGCTGCCAGCAAGGGAGGCTTCGATCGCGTTCTTAAAATGGTGAGAATATAAAGGAAAAAGCAAAACAATTTGAGCGAATTATTTAAAAACGAAGCAGAAAATTAAAAACAGCTGGAGCGGCCGATTACATAATTTTGTTGGTGGTGTATCGATAGTTGACCGCGCATTTAAAACTTTGCAGATTAAAATCACTGGCGGCGGCGACGGACGAGCCATTGGGGAGTTTACTGTGGAAAAGGAGCACCTTAACCGCCAGGGGACCTTGCATGGAGGTCTTACGGCCACCATTGTGGACAACGTTACCACCTATGCGCTGATGTCGACGGGATCACATCCGGGCGTTACTGCCACTCTGAATGTCAGTTACATGTCGGCCGCAAAGCCAGGAGAGGTTGTTGAAATAGATGCACGAACACTGCGTGCAGGTCGCAAAATGGCGTACTTGGACTGTGTTTTGAAGCGCAAATCGGATGGAAGAATTCTCGCCAGCGGGGGGCAAGTCAAGTACGTTGATTTCGACCAGGAAACTTGATTATTAGAACTCAACAGCAAATGCAATGCATCAAATATTTGAATAAAATCATTTTGCAGCGTACGTACCGACGATTCGATTGGCCTATCGATAGGTCACCAGCCAATGACATTAAATGCAGTTATTTATTTGTGTTGCAGTTTCACCTTTAAAGAGGTGCATTTGGGGCATATCTTTGATAAATGGAGATGAGATGTTCATGCACTGAATGATTAGTTGCCGGAATCGCAGGGTATCCGCAGGCGTACCTGTATACATTCTCAGGTGTGAAACACGGCAGGCGTACAGAGCGAGCAAAACAAACGGGAATCCAAATCCGAATACCATCACACGCTCGTAAAACGTATCACTAAAGCACCTATACACCATTTTCATAATTTTTACCTCTATCTGTTGAGCGTCGCAGTAACTAGCGTTCGGATACTTTTGTCATTTCGGTTTTCGGTGCGCGAGGAATAGGTAGCTCCACTGATACAATGGCGGGCAAACGTGGTCTGGATATTATTCTGCATATAGCCGAGTATGCACCAAGTAAGGGAGGCTTCGATCGCGTTCTTAAAATGGTGAGATATGGAAGGGAAAAGCCAACATGCTCATGAAATTGCCAAACCGCAAATTTCAAATTTTGCAGATTAAAATCACTGGCGGCGGCGAAGGGCGAGCTTTTGGAGAGTTTACTGTGGAAAAGGAGCACTTGAACCAACAGGGGACCTTGCATAGCGGTCTAACGGGCACAATCGTGGACAACATTTCCACCTACGCGATGATGTCGACGGGATCACACCCGGGAGTTACAGCCAATCTAAATGTCTGCTACTTGTCGGGCGCAAAGGCAGGAGAGGTAGTTGAAATAGATGCCAGAACAGTGCGTGCAGGTCGCAAAATGGCGTACTTGGATATCATTTTGAAGCGCAAATCGGATGGAATCCTTATCGCCACCGGGAGGCAAATCAAGTACATTGATTTCGACAAGAAGAAACTGGACTATTAGAAGTCCACAGCAATTTCATGCACACAAAATTTGAATAAAATAATTTGTCAACGTACCGATGATTCGATTGCATGTGACTTGGCGTATCGATAGATCAGCAGCTGTTTTTGCCAATTTCAATTTTTTCTGACATTACTCAATGCAAATTGCACTTATTTGTTTGGGTTGCAGTTCGTGCTGTTTGAATGTATAATGTGCCTGGGGTCGCCAATAGACGTGCTGGTATTTATTTCCCGTTTAGTAGCTTATCGTTTGTTATTTGCTGTAACCGCAAAGCGGAAAACTGTACTCGAATGTAACTCAGTTAAATAGTACGAGTAACACCAAATCAAAGTAAGTCAATTCTTAGGGCGGCCTGCTCAGTGGGTATCATTGTCTAGGACCGCACTTGACGATCAAGTGCCTGAACAATAAGATAAAGTCCCAATCTAGGGCCCTATCGATACTGCACCTTGGTATCTGTTCACTTTCTCATCGACGATCAACGCCGCCAAAACTTTGCGCAGCACTCAAATAACTTAGACGCTGTCGGCTTGTCATTGGAAGAGCATTCCCCTTGAAATTACAGCCGCCATGGGCACCCGCAAGAAGGGTCTGGACTTTGCCAAACATATATCAGAGATCATTGCCAAATCGACGGGATTCGAAAATCACATGAAAAAGGTTAGAATTCTCAACGAAAACTGTTTCATAATTTATTTGTCGAATCCTTTTCTTAGGTGAAGATCATCGGAGGCGGTGATGGCACTTGCCAGGCGGAACTCAAAGTTGAAGCTGATCACGTCAACCCCTACAACGGTCTACATGGCGGCTACATTGTCACCCTGGTTGACATGGTAACGACATATGCCCTGATGTCCAAGCCGTGTCATCCGGGCGTCTCCGTGGACATTAATGTGAATTACCTGAACGCGGCACGCCTGGGCGACGAGGTACGGATCGAGGCCAACATCTCCAAGATTGGTAAGTATCTGGCCTTCATCGAGTGCACGCTGCGTCACAAGAAGGACGACTCCGTGATCGCCAAGGGCACGCACATGAAATACGTCAATATCAAAGACTAAAATTTAATCGAACCAAATGCTGCGATTGGGATATTAATGTGCTTTATTTTATTACATGTGTAGCAGTACAGTACATTTCATTTGTTAGTTAATTTGTTTTCAATTATTCAATTAAATTTGCTCGTTTGCTCTGTGCGCGATGTTTGGTTAGAGTGTAGACTTTATATTGTAGATTGTAGATTGTATTGTGGCTACTACGGATAAACGTGTACGGTACGGTACGGTACGTCTGTACGGATATGCATATTCTACGGCAGCTCTCCTTTGAGCATCGGGCAGTGCGGGCAGCAGGCCTCTGGCGGCGTCAGAGGATCGATTCCGGGCGGGCAGCTCACCTCGCCACACTTCTCCCGCAAACAGTTTACCTGGCCGTGGAAGCAGTTGCACTTGGTGCACACGTCCGGAGACCAGACCTCGTTGTTCAGCCGCGTTGTTCCCTTGTCATCCACGCAGTGACTGCGCCTGGGCTTCGGGGCAACGGGGGCCGGTGCTGGTGCGAGCTGCACCACCTGAGCCACTGGCTCGGCATCTACGGCATTGCAGGAGTCCTCGAGTTTGCGCAGCTTCTTGTGCAGTTTCTTTAGCTCTTTCTGGAAGATTCCAATCAGCTCCTCCAGGCCACTAACGCGCTCCTCGTTGACATCGTAGAGGGCTTCCAAGGGACTGTCGTAACTCTCGGTGGCTGGGACCTCCTCCTGCTCCTTCTCCTTGGGCTGTCGGAGGTCTCTCTTCTGGCGACTGCTCCTCTTGGTGTACGTCTGTGGAATGTAGGAGTCAAAGATGGTGGGCATGCTGTTGCAGTTGCCGCAGTCCTGCCACAGATAGAGGTTGATGCCGGGAATGTCCTCGCACTTCTTGTAGCCGCCCTGATGCTTGGCCAGGATGAACACATTCTCTGTGACCTGGTCGAAATTGTCACCCACATCGCACAGGACGCGTCCGAAGTTGGCCTGCTTGATCTGGACGAGTTGCTCGGGCAGGAACACGCCCGGATTCTCGTAGTACAAGCGATCGCCGTCGCGCAGGCGACGGAACTGCTCGACGAGCAGACACTGGAACAGCGGACCCACCTTGCCGCCCTCCACCTGATCCTCCAGAATGCCGCCCAACCAAACGTCCACGTTGTCCGGATGACCATACAGCTCCTTCATCTTCTGCCGAATTCCCGCATTGCTAATGTCCGAGAGATCCTCAAAGTCCTCGGCCACGCTGAGGTTGCAGAACTTCCTGTAGACATTGTAGCCGGGAATGCCGTGATCACGGCCCCGCTGAATGTTGATGGCGGCCAGGTCCAGGGCCACCGCATGCGTCGCCTGGAACAGCTTCTCCGTGAGCTCCGTGTTGAGGTTCTGGTCGGGGGTCTTCAGCTTCGCGGGCACCGCCAGCATGCCTCTCAGCAGGGGATCCACTCCGCCCTCGTAGGCCAGGCGCCAGGGGGCAAAGAAGGCCTTGTGGAGTAGCAGATGGCCCTGCGGAATGGGCTGGAAGGTCTCGTTCAGGCGGTGCAGGATGGGATTGATGATGGTGTGGCCGAAGCGCAGGGCAGCTGTGGCAAACTCATTGGCAATGCTCGGATTCAGCTGCGGATTGTAGCCCTTGTACTCTCCGAGCAGCTGCATGCCACTCTCGCCGATGATCAGGGGCAGCCACTGCTTGAAGGTGATATGCTGCATCTGGGCGCCGACGATCTTGCGGGCCTCCTGGTACAGCGTATCGCCGTCCCAATGGGGATTGATCTCGCGCAGCTTGGTGGCCAGCCGATTGTGCTCCCGCATCCAGATGGTGTGCATGGCCAGGAGGCCGACCTGCTCGTTAACCCGTATGTCGCCGGACACAAAGCAGCTCATGGTGTTCTCGTCGAGATTGCGGCGGCAGTCCATGCCGTCCTGCGGGGCCGCAAAGGGCAGCATGTCCTTCTGCTTGGGGAAGTGGACGCCCACGCGGAGCAGACCCTCGTCGGCGGTCAGATTGCGCAGCTCCTGGGCGAAGGGCGTGCTGTAGCCGTACACCTGCGAGGCATCGATGTAGGATGTCAGCTGGTTGATCTGCTCGCGGTGCTGGACGCTGTCAAAGAAGAGCGAGGTCATGCCCGAGCCGCAGATGGCGCTGGAGCGCACCACATCGATGCAGCGGCGGTTCCTCACACGCGGGTCATTCGGTGGCACTTCGATGGGGTAGCAGGGCGGGGCCATCTCGCAGCTCTTCTTGCAGTCGATGCCGTCCCAGCTCTCCGAGCTCACCGAGGGTATGGCGTGGTCCAGATCGTGGTCCAGGAACTGGCCCCACTGCATCACCATGTGTGTGATCCGGCTGTCGGGGGTTATCTCCTTGGTGGCCACCACCGAGGTGGACACCAGCCTGGCACTGGGCTTCGGATGGCCGGCATACAGCTGGCCCTTTGTCCAGCCCACGGGCATGCTGAATCCGTTCTCGTAGATAGGCGGCGCCAGGCGGCGGAAGGCCGTAAGGGAGGCACCCCATGTGGGATGCATCAGATTGTTGCACGTGCCGTCGATGCTGCGATAGCGCGAGTGGTAGCACATGTCCGTGCAGTTCGGCATCTCCCGGTGCTCCATGCAGCCCGACAGCTCCGCCACCAGATGCAGATGCTCCCTGGAGAGCAGGTCCCTGAACTCGTACTCCTCGCTGCTCATGCTCAGGTTGTCTCCCCGCTGCACGTGCTTTCGGATGTTGACCAGGGTCCGCTCGTATATCTCGGCGGCACGCGCCAGCTGCCTTGCCTCGCCCGTGGGGAAGCGGAACACCCGCAGCAGCTCCCCATAGTTCGGTGGCCCCGTGGACGAGCGGTTCGAGAAGAGGGTGTCCAGGGTGTTGTTGATGGCCAGATCAATCTCCTTGGCCGCCTCCGCGAAGGCAATGCGCACGTAACGATCTCCCGGTGCCAGATCCACATTGTTTCTGCAAAGAAAGGATTTTACAGGGGATTCTGGATTCTGGTAATGATTCAAGGAGAAGATATTCCCCAAAAATGGACCAATTAATTTACAACAATGGACTACAATCCTAGGGCTAGACTTTCGAGATTCCTCGAGCAGATATTCCACCACAAAGCGACGACGCGGCACAAAGCGAAGAAACAATCAAGATATTTTCAAGGAATTTCCACATTTTAATTACCATAATGCCAGCGCCAGCGCCAGCGCCAGAGACGCCTCCGAGGAGTCGTTAAAATGGCCGCGTTGTCTAATAAAAATGGCAGCCAGTTTATTTCCCTTTCTTCGCCTAGATGTCTGTCCGTCTCTCCGTCTGTGTGTCCTTCGGACAGTCCTCCCCCCTCACCCCCTGGAAATCTTGCTGCACTTTTTTGTGCGCCAAAAGGAAAATCCGCGCTCTCAAACTCTGACTGCTGCAAAGGGAGGGGTGGGGAGGCAGCATTAACAACAATTCATGCCTCACATTCTCTGTCTGCCATGCAGCGTGGCTGTTCAAGGAATGCTCAGAATCCTCGGAAAACTTTCGCCTGTGTAAACTTTGGCATTGTGCGGGGTGACGATGGCAGCGACTACAACGGGCGACGGAGGCGACGTTCTAGGTAATAACTTAACGACCATAATACACCCTGTTGCACCACAAGTAGTGCCCTGCTGTGCCGTCCTGTGCCGTGCCAAAAGTCTGCCACTATCAGTGGCTCTGCTGCGTGGGATAGTTTGGTAGTGCTTCTAGTGGGTAGCCACTGCTCCTGGGCCACTGCCAGGCCAGGACCCAAGTGCATATATTTTCTCTCTGCCATTCTGTGGTTGCTCCTTTGCTTTTCTGTTTTTGTGTGTAGGGTATGTGAGGAATTTCTAATCCTGTGAGGAGGTCAAGCGAATCTTTCTAGAATCTATATGCTCTCAAATGCTCGAGAATGGATCACTTTTCTATGATAAGTCTTCTTCTGATTCTAGTTCTTTTTAAGGGCTCCTCTGATATCTCATTCCATCAATGTAATTAATCTCATTCGGGAATGTTAGTCAGGGTATACCTTTAGTCTCCATCCACTTGCAGTCGCCTCATTTTGCTAAAGTTTTTTGTTGGTTTTGGTCTCCCTGCCCCGCCGTGCCCTGCCCTGCCCTGCCGCCCTCTGGCTCTGCCACATGCTGTGCGGTGCGGCGTATGGCAATGTATTTCCGTGGTTAGCCTTTTTCGCCAGCAGCAGCCCCAGGAGGAGCTGCAGCAACAGGGGCAGTAACGGTGGCAGTAACGGGATAAGCTTTTGTTTTACGCCGGCATTACCCACAACTTAGGCGGATTTCAGTGTGCTGCCTTCTGGATGGCGGTGGGTAGGTGCTGAGGGGAGGGGAGGGGAGGGGAGGGAATCTTTCAGCGGTTTTCACTCACTTTTTGTTAGAGAGACGCTTCCACGCTTCCTCCCTTCCCTACACACCGGATCTTTGTCCCTGTCCTTGCCCTGCGCTGCACTGCACTGCACTGCACTTCCTTTCCGTCTTTCAACATAGTTTTTCACTTTTAGCGTTGCATTCTCACACTCTCTCCGGACCACGGACAGCGGACTACGGACTACTTACTCTTCTGCTATGCTATGCCTTTTTTTTGTTTTTCTTCTTTTAATTCTTGGTCCTTTGCTGCGGTCTGGCGACTGCGGCTGGCACCGTAATGAGTAAAGTTTCTAATGCCGACGGCTCCCCTGTAAGCCGATTCGGCTTCCGGGCTCTGCCGCACTAAATGGTGCGTGCACCACATACATGTACATGGAAATCCTTATTTTCCGATCCCCCTCCTCCTCCTGCTGGTTTTCCCTTTAGCTGCATTATGCATTTGGAAAAGGCTGCCTGTCTGTGTAAGCAAAAACTAAGCCGCTGCGATGCGGTTCGGTTCGGTTCTCTCTTTGTGGGGCATCAATGGTCCAACGTTTACCCCTCGGTTAATGGCCAGATATGCCACTGTCCCTGCCACTGCTTCCCTCTGCTTGCCTCAGATTGATTTACGACCCAAGGCGGGAGCCAGCCGTGGATGTGGATGGAGCCTGTGCTCAATAAATTCCTTGTCTCTTTTCCATCTTCTGGGTGTTTTTTTGTTGGCTTTGCCATATTTGCGGAACAAACAATTTGGAAAAGTTCTATTTTCGAGGAGTACTACCACTATATATGTATGTGAACCCAAAAGAAAGTTAAAGTTGAAGTGGGAGATG